ATTTTTATTTGAGAAAAAGTTTTGGGCAGCCTTGATATATGTATATAAACTTAAACAACTGGACTAGTGCATCCTGAATTTAACATAAATTAATTATTTTAATACAGTATAGTCATTTCTGCATTTTTTCCTAATAAATGTCATTACAGAAAATCTAACTGCTCATTTTAAATCAATACTTTTAGTACAAAAATATCAGATACTTTAGGACTGTTACTCAAGTAATATTCCTAAAGGAGACTTTAACTTTTACCAAAGTAATTTTTGGGTAAGGTACTTGTACTTTACTCAAGTATCACTTTATGGTACTTTATACAACACTGTCAGAATGAGACAAGAAAACATCTAATTCACCAACTTTAAGTGTTTTGTGGAAGTGCCTAAAAGTCTGAGTTCTAGGTAATAACCTGAGAGAAACTAACATTTAAACCTTGAGTTTTTACTTAATTAATTTATGAAACRATAACAAGGACTCACATCTACATCTAGTATCTCTAGTTTGACTGATGTAAATCATTACCAGGTGAAACAGATTCTGTGGTACATCTCTGTGGAGCATCAGCTAAGATTTAAAAAAGAAACAAATATTAAAAATCAGTAGTTTTAAAAAGCCAAACAAGTAATAGATTTAAGACAACATATAGGCAAAATGATAAAACCATTATAAAACCAGGCTGTGCCATGCAGGAAAACAATTTAAATGTAGGATGTTTAGTAAATTGACTCCAGATGTGGCAGAATGCCATCAAACAGCACTTTAAAGATTATTTCAGAATGGTAGCTGAGGCAGGCTCTTGTGGCTTTTGGTTTGATTCGTTGTGAACATTTGGAGGAGTTTAGAAATGTTTCCTCTGCTTCATGTTTTCCCTCTTTGGCCAAAGCAGGTTAAATAAAAACATCCATAAGACCGTCTCCTTCAGCAGGAGCCTCACCTTACAGCTCAGCTCTAACTTGTTAAAAAGCTCCTCAGCTCAGGCAGAAYTTCCACCACTGCTGAAGAAACATCAAACCTGTGGTCAGAAATGATGTCTGTGAAGCTGGTTTCAGGTTAGAAATGTCACAGCAGAGAGCTGTGACTCTTCTGAAGTTTGGACCAAATGTGTGCCTTTTATCTGACGTCTTGTTTCTCGTGTTCCTTCACATCAGTTTCCACACTGAAGCTGCCCTCCCTCCTGCTGTAAAGTGACATTTGAAGTTGAACTAAACCACTTTTCAACAAGGATGAAGGGAGAAAGCAGAGGGGGAGGGAGAACAACAAGAACAACGTGAGAATGATAAAGATATTTTAAACCCTTCTSAGTGCTGAGTTATTACTCTCTGGAAGGCTTTCATCTGGTGCTGATCTGCCACAAGAATGGTTTACTTCATCTAATGGCCTTCAGGCCTTCAGCACCAGCATTCTCTGTCTAATGAAACACCGTGTGATAACACTGCAGACTGAAAGTCAGGATCTGATGGCAGTTTCCAGGCCTGGAAACAGGGTGGATCCTTTATTCAGAACAGGAAGACTTTGCTTTCCAGATCTTCTTCCTGTGAAGTCAACCATGTTGGCCAACCAGCCTCTCTGAATGTTGTTCGGACCCCCGATCCCATGTAAAAGTGATACATGAGCAAAGGTAAAAGACATGTCCTCTTCATCCAGCTGATTGAGCTCAGAGAATGACTGGTGAGGTCAGATGAGACCAGTGATGAAATGGATGGAAAAAGAGGTAAGCTGATGAGC